ATTACAAATTGGGAAGCAAGTCTGCTACACTACTCTGCTTCTCATCATTAAGTTAGTTTGTTCGATGCAATACATTAATTATAGAAAATAGGTAGAAGGATTTGAGATCATATCTATATAGCAGGATAAATTCAGTCAAATTTAGGTTCCTAAAAGCTTGCCTCAAAAACATTGCTTCGAAAAGAGTTAATAAGTATTCAGCGTCTTATTATCATTAAACAAAGAGCAATAATTATGACTTTGAGGAGGTTCAATAATTAAATATAAATCAGGCAAAAAAATGCTAAAGCTGCGGTAAAGGGACCCTGAGGATAGATAATGAAACTAGGTAGTGAATTTGGTATCCCCACTATAACTTTGCAAGTAATCTTAACTAGCAGTGACAAAAATAGAAGGGGACATGGGTATAAAGGCAGTATTCAAAATGGTTTATGTTAATCTACTTCGTTAATATCCCCTTTGTGAAACGTGTTTCGACGGAGATGCGGCAGAGTAGTGGGGTACTGAACTGAAGTTGTCCAACCAATGTTACGGACTGGCGAGGAAGAGTCTGAAGAAGCTCTATCTGAAGCAAGTAAAAAAGTGGCGACAGAGCTTTTTGCTCCATCTGCGGGTTGGTCTACCTCCCCACGAAAAGATAAATAGGAATCGCTGCCAAGCCATGCATGCAAATACGAGGGAGCTGAAGAGACGCGAAACATACGGTCTGGTGGATGAATGTTGTCAAGATCGGCATTACTACAATTAAGTATAGAATAAAAGAACAAAAGGATTAATTTCTAAATAGAAAGAACGTAAAAAGACAGGATATCTATTTTCTTTAAGGGGCCTTTATTTCTACTTTTGTGAACAGAGAATAAAGAGTTGCTTAATTGATGAACTATGATTTCCGCATCCGAATAACGATTATCAGTCCATTCTTTCACTACCAAATTTTACATATTCAAATTAAGTGATGGATATGACCATAATTGGTAATTTTATGAAAGACTTACATTTCGTGTATGGGGGCATATTAGGAAGCGATTGCTATCATGCAGATCTCGACAGGCCAAATTTTCAAACACTAGAAACATCGTTAGAATTTGGCATTTGATAGTGAATCAGCAAACTTTTAAAGCAGCCTCCTTCTGCTCTCCATGGCAAAGAGAGTTAGCTAGTTCAAACAAGCCTAAGCGAGCCTAGCTTGCAACACTATTAGCTAAAGTATGTATGGAATCTTAAGATTGTTGAAGAGAAGTACCGGTTTTGACCGGCTATAAATTTGTACTGATACGGACTTAATCCACAATTTATTCACAAAGGGTCGAATTTTGATCTTCCATGTAGCTCTAAAGGTTGTTCTCAAACACTTTGGAGCCCATTTAAAATCTGCACTTAATCGTCTCACCAGCATCGCCAGCCGGATTCAAACCTTCGGTTATTGGAATAGGGGATGAAAACACGTCGACCAACAATCTAATCGAATTTACTCATATTATGTAACATAAGAAGTGTGAGTGTCAAGACAATACAGGCCTATATGAAATCTCATTGTGCCGAGTTTCAGACAGATAGGCAAATATGTGCTTTTGATTAAAATGTTGTGAAGATGCTAATTTTACATAAGAGCTGATAATTTTAAAGCATCTAAGTGTATGCTGCACATATTGTCGTTAGTACCATTTTTAAAAGCTAACAGTAGCCCGATTATTGTAGGGAAGTACATGTTTCGCCAAATTTAATCAAGGCAAAAGATCGAGCCTTTTCTAGAATTACCGCGTTTAGAATGACTAACAGTTCGATAACAAAAACCAGTCGGAATTGATACATCTCTACGATAATCAGGACCCAGAGAGCTGCAAAGAAAAACGCTTAAAAACACAATTTTTAATTTTAAATCTTCGCCTTATTCGGTTGCTTGCTGTAATTAAAGCGTCCGTCTTTTCCAGCTAAATGATGACCTATATGATACAAATTTGTATTTTATTCGAGGAAACATAAGCTTATCAAATCTAATAAACGAGTAAAAAGAGGTCAATACATTGAAAGTCCGAAATAGAATCAATTCAGGCCACTAGGCCCTGTTAGAAGTAATTGATTCCGCCCACCCGAACTATGAACACGAGTTTAGTTTCTGCAAAATGATGAGGTTGCTCTAATGTATGCAGAAGTATAGGTTTAAGACAATGATCAGTGATCACATAAAAGAAGAGCCTAGCCTAATCTGGAGAGGGATTGCGAGGAAAATGATTTGATCACCTCACTCATAAAAAAATGACAGTAGCCTGACGAATATAGACACTAGGGAGAACTATTCATCGTCGAAAAAGAGATAATTAATGCCCAGATTAAAGTAATAATAATGTCAAATTCATTTGAGTTGAACGCCATCAAGTATGCAAACCTGACACGGTAATCGAAAGTATGAAGATCAAGATGGTGTGGCCTCTTGTTTGTGGTTGCAGTCTCCTTCCGCTGTATAGAAGTTTGTTTGACCTTGTTTTCGCAACTTGGTCATATTGGTAGGAAGACTTATAGGAACGCACCTTATCCTGAG